TTTTGTTTATCCTTTCTTTTTCACATTGAAGCCTTGAGGTAAGGTAAATAAAAAATGGGTCCTTGAAAAAGAAAAATCATCGATGGTTTTTTTTCTTTTGCTGATCGGCTGATCCTCCAATGGTTGATTTTTTTTTTTTTCTTTATTCTTTTTAACATAAAATCTTATACGATTCTTTGCACAGCGATGTAGAAAAATATTTTGACTTTCACTTTCCCAACAAAAAATCAGTCCAAAAACAATAAATAATAATAACAATATACAGAAATATAAAAATAACAAGAAACATCTATTCTTAAATAGTTATAAATGTGTTCTGCCACGCACACTATCTGAATACAGTATGGTAGCTGGAAGAGTTCAGAATGACTTGGGTTTCTTGGTTCTCATCCTTCAATTCCTTCTTTCTTGTTGAAATACAGTGCATTTTTCCGTATATAGCATCGAAACTTCAAAATATTGCGGACCGTTTGTTTCATACATTTAAAATTATAACTTTAATTCTGTTATAGTATTTTTTTTATAAAAAATTTAAAATTTAAATATTAAAATTAAGAATCACTGATTTAAACGTATAAAATAAACGGACCTACAAAACTCTAAACTGTGCTTCTTGTCCATGTTTAGTCATTCAGTCACAAACATTATTGTTGATAACTCAAGGAAATCAACTATGTGAATTATTTGTTAACAAATAGTATTTTAAACAAAATGGCATGTTAATTAAGATAAATTTGAGTAAATTTAACCTTCACATAATTGTTAGCCAACAAGCTCTTATAGAGATAACATAACTTTTTTTTTCTCAATTTTTAAATTGATTTTGTCTGTATTATTTAAAATATCATCATCAACAAAGCACGCAAGTGTCATATGGTTGATTTCGTTGAGTTTTTACATATGTATAACAGATCTTAAATATTAGTCATTAAATGATTTTTACTTGTTTAGCAAATTGTTATCTAAATTTTTAATTTTGACAATTAACGCTCTGCACTTGTAAAATTGTTGTAATGTGTCCCGTTTTACTAAATTTGCTCAAATTTTTTATTAGATTTAATGGGTTAAAAGTTGAGAAATTAAAATATTTGTGTTACATTTGAATTAGGAAGTTATAATTTTCATCAAACGTGTTTTTTCGACACTAATTTAATACAATTATTATCAAAATGAAACATATTGCAACAATTTTATAAATTAAGGAACAACTTGTCAAAATTAAAAGTTAAAAAGTAAATTGCTAAATCTAAATAAATTCAGGAGGCAAGTGGGTAATATTCCCGTCATTGAATGATAAAAAATCGATCTGATCAACTAAAAGTTTCGAGCTTTCATATAACAAGAATATAAACAAGTTGAACAAGTTTCAACAAATCATTTTTTGGTTTCTTCATATCTATGCCCATCGCATTTTAAGGTTATTTTTGTCTCTCAAATTTTAAAACTCTCATTTTCTCTTCTAAATTTTGAATGACTAATGCTATGAACAACAATTCTAATCTACATTTTTAAGTACTAACTGATGTGACATATGAATTGTCATCTTTTTATTAGTAGATGCAATATCTTATCATTAATTAACATGTCAATGTTTTAAACACCCACAAATATAAAAATGACAACTCACATATCCCATCAATTGGTATATAAAAATTGAAATTTTAATTGGTGTCTCAAGCATTATTCATTTTGAATTAGTTTCATTTTGCATTTCTACTAAAGATAGTCAAGAAAATGGGCAGTATAATATGTGGTCTATTTGTTAGGGTCTTTATTAAAAGAAACATAAAAAACTTATGTGACTGTACTTAATCCCTTCCTTTTTTGACCGTTTCTTATAGAATTTTAATAAAGAAGGACTACTAAAATTTAAAGAGCGAGAGTAAAATGAGAATTTTTAAATTTAAAAATAAATTATGAATGACTCTAAAAATTTGGGAGTAAAAGGGAGATTTATTTTTAGCCCTATTTATTTTACCGATTCGAGTTTTACTATAGTAAAAGGCTCTCAGAAACAGTCACATCTAATTTTTTTTATTACAGTAAAAAACTCTCGCATAAAGTTACATCTTAACTCGAATTAAAAACTCGAATCAGCAAACTAAACGAGCTCTTTATTTTGGGTATCATTTCATCCTTTCTTAGGCCTCGTTCATTTCACTGATTTGAGTTTAGAATTCGAGTTTTGTTATAGTAAAAAGCTCTCAGAAATAATCACATTTAATTTTTTTATTACAGTAAAATTTTTTTACATAAAATTATATTTCAACTCATATTAAAAATTAAAAATTTGAATTAAGGATACTTACTTTTTACCATTGTAGATATCCCCTTCTCTCTTTTCCCGTTATTTTCTCCTTTTCAGTTGACTTTACTTTTTTGGGGGTACTGGTTAGAAGAAGTAAATCAAATCACGTGCATGGATTTGACGCATGGAATACCAATCGACTTTAATGCTTCATTAGGCTTTGCCATGAATATTCTATGCCATATCATTGATCATCTCATCTGCACGCCTTTTCCCACTTTGTTCCGGTCTCGAAACAAATATTCAACTGAAAAAGTTTCGATATCGAAACATGAAACACCACAGTTGGAAAGATTGAAAAACTTCTCCAAGAAAGACTATTCACACTTTAACATTACCTTTCTCTGTTGCATGATATCAATATAGTATAAAATATAATGCTTTGTATGGTTTCGTTGTATGTTACTTGCAAAGGACCATCCTAGAATAGATAAGTATAATATGATATTTATTTTGTATAACAAAAAATATATGATACATATTTGGAGTAATAAAAATTAATATTATTTGTTATATTTTCTCACGTAATTATAGTATACAGAATAAAGGACATAATTATCTTATTTATTTTTATATGTCACGGTGTGAGATTTTTATTATATTGGCCTATCTTCATTAGTAGAAATTTTAGATTTAATGACTGTTAATAACTGTCGTTAAAAGATTTAAACGACGATTAGGAAAATTATCGTTTAATCGAGAGTCGTGCAACAATTTAACGACGGTTTATATACAAAACTATCGTCTAAGATCTTTTCAAAATGATAATTTTGATGGTTCGGTTTCACATTTATCGACGGTTTCTTATATAACGACGATTTTAGTTAAAACCCGTCGTTATATATGCCTTATACACCAAAAAAATTGGTGTTGTTTTATTGCTTTTCTCACAAGTTGGCTTATTAATCCCGTGATTTATCAGCATTTTGGCCACACAATTAACACAAGTCACAAGTCACAGAACATAAACAAATTAGCATTACATATATTCAAATCAAAATGTCTACATAAATTAAATTATATGTCCCTTTACAAAATGTGCCCATTCATTTATCATTTCTACTACATGCTCATTAGTATATGCCTCTATGTTTTTTAAATCATTAACACTGACTCTCATTATATGGCGCATATACCATAAGACGAAGAACTCGCATTCTTTGTTCCCTTCTTGTGTCAAAATTTTCTGATAATGATTAGTAAAGGAAATAATATAAATTAGTAGTTCGAAAGTTATAAAGAATGCTAAACTTACAGGGCAATCATTCTTCTGAAGTCTACGCGTACTTCTGCCGCGAGAGAATCCAACAACACGGCCGTATCTTGTGTGGAAGATATCATGACCAACATCCAATGTCCTCGCCCATTGTATGGCATGAAGAAAGTGCGCCGGGCATCCGATTGTAACAAAAATGTACAAATGACGTTTGCCTGCTGCTTTATATCCAACTCCGCTTGGCCTGAAACGTAGGACATGAGCATCGGGAACATGAAACCCCAACGTCCTAGGACATTCTCTTGAAAGCACACATGCCACAAGTAACTACATGAAAAATGAAGAAATTAGTTATACATTTAATAATAAATAATAATATATTGTGAAAAAACAATAAGAATAGTTATTACTACATGTAAGCCATGATACACACAAGACTAAAGGGTTGTTTGGTTGGGGGATTCGTTCCCTTATTCGAATCATGATTCGTGGTTCGCTACAGTATTTTCTCTCACAAAAAATACACGTAAATCAAAAATAGTTCTAATCACATGATTCTAATTCATAAACCAAACGTCTCCTAAGTTCTTGATAGGTGGTCATCCATTCGATATCATTAGCTATGATAAAGATCTGCATATTATGCACCCGAGTCATATTAAATGGAAGGAGAAATTGAATTATTCCACCAATGCCCATTGATTGTTGCAAATGAATCATTAAGGGGGCGTATGAATCATTAAGGGGGTGTTTGGTAGAGGGATTCGTTCCCTGATTCGAATCATGATTCGTGATTCGCTACAGTATTTTCTCTCATAAAAAATACATGTAAATCAAAAATAGTTCGAATCACATGGTTTGAATCCTCCAACCAAACGAACCCTAAGTCTTGTATTTCTGTGGGCAACCCTTGCAACTGCTCCGACAACGGTTGTGTTACTTCCCTGTCCTCAACGGGTCACTGCAACAAATATCAATATCAATAGCTGACTAAAAACGCTATTAATCACTAGTAATAGCATTTTTGGGAGCACTAGGACATCAAGTGCTATTAAAAGTCCTAAAAAAATATAGCGTTTTAGGAAAGTTATGTAAAACGCTATAGAATTGAGGTATTATAACGTTTAAGACAAGATATTTTCAACCTCTTGCAACTATTTAGCATAGCTATAATATAGATTAATAACTTTTTTTTCTTGTTATGTTCATATTCTTATAGCTTTTTAAAATTATTATTGATATCCTTTTAAATTCATTCAAATAAATAGTAATTCTGAGCAACATCTTACATCCAAATAGGAACATTCATAAAAACATTCAATGTAATAATTGTTATCAGTATCTACAAAATTGGCAATAAGATTTTTACAACACAAGTCACACCATTTGTTCACAACTTTAACATTAAAAACAAGTAAAGAATACAGAGAAATAGCTAGAGATATCAAAGTATCCAAAACATCTAGCCAAATGAAATGGTTAAGTAAATAATCCATCTTGACAAAATACTCCAACAAAAAGGTCATCTCCTCTAGCAAAGCAATTATTGACCTGTCAGAAAATTAGTCCAATTAATTAATTAAAACATATAAAATTGATTAACTAATAAAGCACCAAAAAAAAAAAAAAAAAAAAAAAAAAAAAAAAAAAAAAAAAAATAGCCATACAACTAATGAAGAATACTTTGTATAAGTAAAAGGAACTAGAAAGTGTGGATATTATTTGAAGTGTAGCAAAGGACAATACGATTGTAAATCATATTAACAAACAACCTTCAAAAGGAGCCTTGAATAACATCAGATAATTTATACAATAAACTATGAAATCCATTGGCACAACAACATAGAGTCGGACACACTCCAAATCTCCAAATAGTATTGCACGCGATGGCATGAATTTGAAGTCAAAGAGATAACCAAGAATATGACTTACATCTTCATCAAGCAAGAATGCAAATGCTCCTGCTTGCTTACCGCATTTTACCTGCAAAAGGTTGTGACGTTTTCTGCATATACAGCACGAGTAAGAAATCATTGATGTCGGATTGACAACGGGATATCATCTTCAAGCTCCTGAATGGTGATTATTTCTATCTATATCCAAACAAACACCACTACAATCTAACATAAAACCTTAATTTTATCAGACGCATGAATCACAAGAAACTAAGGTAAACACAGCATGTGGATAACATGTTAATGGATGCATTTTGGTTGGAAGATGGCAGAAATTCACCATAAACACATGGAAACTTACACATCATCAGGAGGTGCAGAGTCAATCTGTAAGTTCATTACAAGTTCTGACGGTACAAAAATCTCTTCCAAAGGACTACTTGGTGCCTCATTTTTCGAGTCACTTGATTGGGAATCAGAAAACAACTCCTACAATATGATATACAACGGGTGATTAATTCTAATGTGCAATTATTTTGCGAGTGGCAAAGCCCACTCAAACTATCTTAGCAAGGAAGAGACACAAGGAGAACCTGAGTCTCATCAATAGGAGCTCGAAATGATTGATTGGATTCCTCACCCACAACCTGTATCCAAATGGAAGTGTCATGCAACACCTCCAAAAAGCTTGTTGTCTTAAAACTTAAAAATTCAAATTGACATGTCATGAGAATAAAAGCAACACTTTCCTAAAACTGCAAGGTTGGCACGGCATGAGCTCTTAAAACTTCGTTCTTTCTTTTGGTTGAAAGTATGAGCTCTCAGTGTATTTTAGCAGATAACACACTTAATACGTATATCTTTTTCATCACCATACCAAAGAATATCTCATTTTTCTATAAAACATTGGTAAACAAATAATGTAACAAGACTTGTGAAATCCAAAAGACTCTTATGTTCTATGACTAAATCAAAAAAGACCATAATAATCCAAATCCTTAAGAGGGTCAAAAAGAACATACCTTGGTGTCTTTGAGGATATCACCAAGGTGGGTATTCTTCTACAAATCTATCAACAACAAAAAATTGTCAAAAACAAAGCTATCAATTACAAATCAATCAAAAACAAAAATTTTAAGACCTAGAGATTGTGGGTTTCCTTCTACAACTAAGCAATTTCAAAGCACAACAAAAATCTGCCATTTCTCATCAACAAAAATCAATCTTTTCTCATCATAATTTCCCAACCGTCAGCCCAAATCTCCTCCAACTACAAAAGTTGTCTCTCTTTAATGAGGTCAGTCCCAGATTCACTATCAAAGTTCAAATTTTCATATCCAAAACAAGCATTCTATTGATAACCAGTGTATGAAGAATAATATTGATAATATTATCAAGATAAACATGGTTCTTCACTTAAGACAGAAAAAAAAAAAACCCAAAGAAACAAAACATACCTTGCTTTGATTGAGGATTGTAGCAAATGTACACAAATCTGTCAAAAACGACAAAAGCAAGAAAAAGATTAGAAGCGAACAACGTTTTATGACCAAGAGATTAAGGGTTTCCTTCTATAACTAATCTGAATGAAGAAAAACTTGTTTAATGTGAATGAAGACAATACCTTCTGAATTTCTGAGTCGATAGAATGAGGCAATGATCTAAGCATGGCCAAGTACCATCTCCATGCGTCCAACGCTTCTGGAGAAGCTTCAGAAGAACCCACTAAAGTAGGTTGGAAAGGTAAAAATAAATCAGCAGGACAAAAAAATGATTTCCCCTATGACAATACGACCAACTGGATATCAACTGCCATCTCCATTTTATAGTACTTGATGTCATACTCCAGCTGATAGAAACATTACAAGCTCGTATCAGTGGCAGTTAAAGGTATGTAACATTTTTTTTCTCACTGAAACCCGAGTTGAAGTAAGCAAAAATCACATGAAGCAAATTCAAGCGAATCTCTATGTTAAAACATGGGCGAACTCTGAAGAAAGTCATGAACTGCAAGTTTCCTATGAATGAGACAGTGGAGGTGTGGTACCTGTAAACAAGAAAATAAAACATAAGTTATACAGAAATGCAAGAGATGCAGTGATAGGATCCCGCCTAGACCTCCTATCAACTTTACTTATTCTAGAAGGGGTAAAAAGGGCATAGCTGGGATGGAAGTCAAGGCAGGGGAGGGCAGTGCTGAGGTGGCAAATTCTGTTAGGGGATTCTGTTAGAGAAGCTGGCTTGGGGAAGAATATAAGAGGAGGAAACAAGGAAGGAGGGGATATCAAGAAAATCTGTGGAGACTATTGGGTCAGAATTGGGAGGTGGCGGGTCCTCAAAATCCCTCGTTCTTTGCCTTTGTTTTCTTTCTTTTTGTTCCTCCGGTGTAGAAGGAGAGCTCTTGCTGTAATGCTCGATTGAGTCGTTCCCATCAATAATAGGATCCAGACCCTTTTTTTGGTTATTCACGTTGTTACCCTTTTGTTTTAAGTTCTTGTTTGGTTAAGTGATTTTCAGGTTCTTATCAGCTTGGTATCAGAGCGGGCCGATCCATGGCGAACCGTCCGATGGAACCTCGGCCTGAGAATCGCGAGGACGCCGTGGAGAGACGCGTGGAGCACCTCAACGAGGCGGTGCATGCGTCTTCTGGGTGCGATGGTCGATCCGGTACCAAGGTTGCAGGAGGATATGACGATCCTCACGAATCGGGTGGGCTGAGTTCAGGACGCGGTCCAACGCATGGAGGCGCTCCTAGGACAGCACTTCGGGGGGGAGTGTGGCCCTGATCCTCATGGAGCCGCAAGAGAGAGAGAGAGCGTGGCCGTGAGTTTCGGCCAGAGTCGCCAATGAGACGGAGGAGAGGGGAACACCGGGGAAAGAAGCTCGAGCTCCCGATTTTTCATGGTTGAGGACCCCTACGGATGGTTATTCAGGGCTGAGAGGTATTTCGCGATCAATGATGTCGAGGAGGAGGAGAAAGTGATGGCGGCGTCCGTTGCTTAGAAGGGCGGGCTTTAGGGTGGTTCCAGTGGGCGGAGACTCAAGAGCCGTTTGTCGATTGGAAGGACTTTAGGGCCGCCCTGCTACATCGTTTCAGCCGAGCCCGAGAAGGAGATCCCACCGAGAGGCTGATGTCGTTGAGACAAGGGGGGCTGGTTGCAGAGTATCGGGACTCCTTCGAGACACTGGCAGCAGCTTTGAGAGGTGTGCCGGAGTCAATTTTCCGAGGAGCCTTCCTGAATGGGCTGAGGGAAGATATACGGGCCGAGGTGAAATTGCACAGGCCCATAAATTTACAAGAGGTAACGGACTTAGCCCAGCAGATAGAAGATAAGAATGAGGCCCAAGATAAGTTCAGAAAGCTGAAAATGGGCCTGGGGTGGAAACAGGAGGGAATGGGCCGAGGGTATTCTTTTACCGACCAGGCTAAGATTAATGGCCCCTATTCTGATAGCTCCCTTCAGTCCAGTGTGTCGAGGGATTCTAGAACATTTCCCCGAGCAAAATCTGACTCGGCGCTCGCTCAAGCGTCGGCGGTCACCCGCGATTCTGGGTTCCGACGTCTCTCTGACGACAAGATCTAGGCACGGAGGGCCAAGGGGCTCTATTTTTGGTGCGATGAGAAGTTTGGGCCGGGCCATCGATGTAAGAACCGACAACTGCAAGTCCTCATGGTGGCAGGGAACAAGTCGGAGACGGAGGACGCGAAGGATGAAGAGGCAGAGCAACCGGTGGGGGTTACCAGATGAGGCGGCGGTTTTGTCCCTTAATTCCCTGCTAGGCTTCACCTCCTCCAATACCATGAATGAAGGTCCTTGGGCAACTGGGTTCCCGAGAGGTGGTAGTCCTCATTGACAGTGGGGCATCGCATAGTTTTCTATCCAAGAAGGTGGTGGACGAGTTGGCCCTGCCATGCGCTGAGACAAGGAGTTATGGGGTGCAGGTGGGAAATGGAATGAATTTTAGGCAGCAGGGGATATGTAAGGGGGTACACTTGTGGGTGCATGGTTTCTGTATTGTGGAAGATTTTTTTCCCTTCGAGCTAGGAAGCGCCGACGTGGTTTTGAGTGTAACGTGGCTCGGCGTTTAGGTGAGGTTCGTGCTGATGGTCCAAGTATACCTTGAAGTTCCTCGATAAGGCTAGCTGGGTATGTTGGAAGGGGGACCCGTCCCTGAGTTGCACCCCGGTGAGTTTCCGGGCCTTATCTCGGCAGTTTACACCGACACATTTGGGCATACTTCTCGAGTTAAGTGCAGTCACAACAGAAGAGGTGGCTGTCCCGGAGCTGCTGCTAGGGGTGGCAATTCGTGTCACGTGTCGTGTTTTGATCGTTTTTTTTAAATTTACAGTCAACCCGAACACGACCTGTGACACGAAATTTTTTAAAAACCGCAACACGAACACGACACGGCCACTTTACAAGTTGACACGACACGACCCGAAAATGACCCGTGACACGAAATTGACCCGTGAATTCAAAATTGACACGAAAATATTATATTTTTATATACTTTTTTACATATTAGAAATAACTTAAAATTCATAATACACTAAATTACAATAATATCCATTGAAATTAAGCAAATAATAGTACAAGATTTTGAGTATAACTATCATGATATCACAAGTTCATAATAAAATTAAAAATATGAAATGAAAAATATATATATTTTTTAGTTTTTTACGAGTTTCGTGTCGTGTTCGGGTTAGGAGGGTCCAACCCGAAATTGACTCGTGTTTTTCGTGTCAATTTCAGGTCGACCCAATTCTGACCCGAACCTCTTTTTTCTCAACCCTAACCCGCAAAATTTGTGTCATTTTCGAGTCGTGTCGTCGTGTCGTGACCCATATTGCCGGCCCTAGCTGCTGCCCCCACCCGAGTTGGCTGACGTTTTGACTCTTTATGAGGAGGTTTTCTCCTCACCGACCAGTCTGCCACCCCATCGAGCGGCGGACCACCACATTGTGTTGAGGGAAGGGGCCATACCACCGAGCATCCACCCCTACTGTTATCCCCATGTCCAGAAAGGGGAAATCGAACGCTTGGTCTCAGAAATGCTCTCCTCCGACATAATCCGGCCGAGCAGCAATCCATATTCTAGTCTTGTTTTGTTGGTTAAGAAGCATGACGAAAGCTGGAGGTTTTGTGTTGACTACCGCGCCCTAAACCAGCTCACAGTGCCCGACAAATTCCCCATCCCGATCATTGACGAGCTTTTTGATGAATTACATGGGGCGGCAGTATTTACAAAGCTCGACTTGAAAGCAAGATACCACCAAATTCGGGTTCACGACGGCGATGTGGAGAAAACAACCTTCCGTACACACAATGGGCATTACGAGTTCCTCGTCATGCCTTTCGGGTTGACAAACGCTCCGGCCACATTTCAATCTTTGATGAACACGGTGTTCCGCCCATACTTGCGTAAATTCGTCCTCGTTTTCTTTGATGACATATTAGTTCATAGTCGATCTTGGGAGGAACACAGGGCTCACCTTACGGCCGTTTTGGATATTCTGCAGAAGGAGCAACTCGTCGCCAATTGGAAAAAGTCTTCGGCCAGCCACAGTTGGAGTACCTCCGGCATGTCATTTCCAAGGATGGTGTCTCGGCCGACCCGACCAAGATACGGAAGCCTAAGAACGTCCGCGCAGTTAGAGGATTTCTTGGCTTAACCGGCTACTATCGCAGGTTTGTACAGGGGTACAGGTCCCTTGCGCGGCCACTTACGGACCTCTTGAAGAAGGGAGCTTTCACGTGGACCGACGCAGCCTCTCACGCCTTCGAGAAATTGAAAGTGGCCATGACCACTCTGCCGGTCTTGGCCAAGCCGGACTTTTCCAACACGTTCGTGGTCGAGACGGACGCATCAGGGACCAGTCTTGGAGCTGTCCTGTTACAGGAAGGCCGCCCAATAGCGTATTTCAGCAAGGTGTTGTCACCTACTTCGCAATTGAAGTCCGTATATGAACGGGAACTCATGGCCATTGTCCTAGCAGTCCAAAAGTGGCGCGACTATCTTCTTGGCCGCCACTTTGTGGTCCGCACGGACCAACAAAGTCTGCGCTTTCTACTGGATCAGTGTCTCCTTCCTCCAGAGCACCTCCGCTGGATTTCAAAATTGATGGGATACGATTTTGAAGTCTAATATAAACCCGGCGCTTCCAATCGGGTTGCGAATGCCCTATCCCGCCGTGACGAGGCCCCTACGCCGGAACTGATGGCTTTCTTCATGCCGGGACTTGTTGACTTGGAGAAGGTCCGGCTTGAACAGCTCGAGGACGTTACTTGTGCTCGCTTGGTTGCGCAATTACAGCTACACAAGGAAGTTCCCCTCGGGTACAACCTACAGAATGGTCTACTCTACTTCCAGGGCAGGCTCGTTTTGCCACGCCAATCCACTTGGATTCCGCTGCTGTTGCAGGAATTCCACGACTCGGTCATTGGGGGCCACTCGGGATTCTTCCGCACCTATAAGCGCGTGGCTGCGAACGTTTTCTGGCCAGGTATGAAAAATACGATCCAGGATTATGTGGCTCACTGCGAGACATGCCAAAAGTCCAAATATGAAGCCCTCTCCCCGGCAGGATTGCTGCAGCCCCTGCCTATCCCGGATAAGGTTTAGGACGACATCTCCATGGATTTCATTTCAGGCTTGCTGAGGGTTAGAAGTGTGGACACAATTTTGGTAGTGGTGGATCGCCTCTCAAAGTATGCTCATTTTTGCCCAATTGTTCACCCCATTACGGCCAAGCATGTTGCGGAGCTCTTCATTCGGGAAATAGTGCGCTTACACGGCATACCTCGCTCCATAGTAAGTGATCGTGACCCTGTCTTTATGAGTTTATTTTGGCAGGAACTCTTCAAACAACAGAGTACTCGGCTGCACCACAGTTCCTCGTATTACCCATAAACCGACGGCCAAACTGAGGTCGTTAACTAGGGCCTGGAGACTTACTTGTGCTGTTTTGCTTCTGATAAACCGAATGAGTGGGTGCAGTTCTTACCTTGGGCAGAATTCTGGTTTAACACAAACTTATAACGCGTCGACTGCGCAAACGCCATTCCAAATTGTGTATGGACGGAACCCACCCACCTTGCTTCGCTTCCAAGATGTGCCGACGGTTCAACCTGCCACTCCTTCTGTTGTGGAAGACGTGAACCTTCAATTGCAGCTCCGCAATCAAATGTTGGACGCTCTCAAGGAACACTTACTCGTGGCTCAGAATCGAATGAAAAAGTCGGCAGATGCTCATCGTCGTGAGGTGATCTTTGTCCAGGTGAACTTGCGTTACTCAAGCTCCGACTACATCGCTTGAAGTCTCTCACGCAGAAGGTGAATGAGAAACTTTCTCCTCGTTTTTATGGGCCTTTCCCTGTTCTGGGCGCATTGGACAGGTCGCTTATCGACTCCAACTTCCAGGCATGGCTCGTATCTATCCCGTTTTCCATGTCTCCCAGTTGAAGAAGTTTCGCGGGGGCGAGTATAAAAGTCAGCCTCTGCGTCCCCAGCTTTCGGAGGACTTGGAGCTGCTTGTGGAGCCTGCAGGCATTTTACGCGCTCGTACCATTCCCTTTGGCGGTCGGGATCGCGTGGAGGTCCTGGTGTCTTGGCAGGGTTTTCCCGATTGGGAAGCTACATGGGAACCGCTTGATGACATCCGTCAACAGTTTCCCGACCTAAACCTTGGGGACAAGGTTGCGCTGTCGTGGGGGGGGGGGGGGGGGGGGGGGGGGGGGGGGGGGGTATTGATAGGATCCCGCCTAGACCTCCTATCAACTTTACTTATTCTAGAAGGGGTAAAAAGGGCATAACTGGGGTGGAAGTCAAGGCAGGGGAGGGCAGTGCTGAGGTGGTAAATTCTGTTAGGGGATTCTGTTAGAGAAGCTGGCTTGGGGAAGAATATAAGAGGAGGAAACAAGGAAGGAGGGGATATCGAGAAAATCTGTGGAGACTACTGGGTTAGAATTGGGAGGTGGAGGGTCCTCGAAATCCCTCGTTCTTTGCCTTTGTTTTCTTTGTTTTCTTTCGTTTTGTTCCTCCGGTGTAGAAGGAGAGCTCTTGCTGTAATGCTCGATTGAGCCGTTCCCATCAATAATAGGATCCAGACAATTTTTCTGGTTATTCACGTTGTTCCCCTTTTGTTTTAAGTTCTTGTTTGGTTAAGTGGTTTTCAGGTTCTTATCATGCAGTTACAGCAAAACACGTATAGATACGGAAGCCAATTCAGTTGAAACTGCCTTTTTCTGGTTAGGCCGAAGTCAATTGTGTGCAATGCACACTAAATTTACAAAAGCAAATTTCAAGTGGTGTGGAAACACGCATTGGACACTAACCAGTTCTAACAATTTTAATAAGTAGCCCATATTTATCAGTGTCAAACTTCAGGAACTAGCATAAATGGGCTCATCATAAGCTCTTACAGTAAAGTAAATAAATGCAAGAATAATATCAACCACGATAATAATACTTATAATAATTAACTACCAGCAATATGAACAAAAATACATAAAAAGTGACGAGATTATGCATGAAGACAACAAAAATCAAGTGATAAAAGAAAGAGCCAGTACCTCATTGCGAGGGGGCAAAGGGGTCAGTTCATCTCCCATGAAGCCATTTTCAAAATCATCATATTCATCTTTATCCACTTGATGTTGCGAAACTAAAGTGAGGACACCAATAAACTCAACAACCTCGTTTAGCTTCAAATCGGACTCCGGGATATCACATATCTGACCATTTGAACTAAATTTTTATCAGATTTGGTAGAACAAGCAAGAAACATATAAAATTCATCACTTTAAAGCAATACAGCTAATTAGCTTGGGAGATTAACAAACGACAACATACCTTGACCAGACAAGGAAGAGAATCCCTATCAACATTAGGCTGAACACTTGCACTAGAGCAGGCGCCCTGAGACACAGACTCCTGAGACTGAGAAGACTGGGAAGGATGTCCATCCTCTCTCTAGCGAAAAAAAATCAGGAGATAAGAATGATATTCATCAGAAATGTGTAACACTATATAGTAAAATGAGTTATGATCTTCATCAGAAATGTAGAACGCTGTTTAGCAAAATGAGTTAGCATTGACAACCAAATACAACACAAAGCACAATATAAACTTTTATCAGAATCTCAAATTTCAACCCCTCATGCGATGAGACAAATACCAAGTGTAAATAAAATAAAATAAGGATATAAGAGTGAATCATCCATTCACTGATTTCTACTTACCATCTTTTTGGCGCTAGGAGAACCTTCAAACCCATCATTCGAGACCTGTCATAGCAAGTAATGTATTAAACATTTAACAGAGAACAGGGTACTCGAACTAAAATATGAAACTCAAAAACTAAAGACACCACATCAGCAAATTGGATGAAAATTTAAACTGAATATGATGACCTCATTAAACCTATCATTATAAACTTAATCCGATTTAAATAAAAAGGACGTGGAATATATCATGTTTGTTCTAATTCCCAGACTTGCACGAATGACTTGGTTAGACTGTTTTTAAGCTTCCATTGGTTTCACCTACCTTTTCCACTTTACTTCAATATCCTCTGTATATTGAATTAGTACAAGAATACTAGTACAAGATAAAGGGGCAAAAATTACAACTAAATCCATGTCATCAACAGCTTCATCATCCCCTCTCTGACGCTTCTCTCTTTGTTGAGACGCCAACTCCATGCTTCTTTTTATCAACGCTTCAGGAGAAGCTTCAGCCCATGAATTCAGTCCCGGAACCTGAAACAAGATTAAGGAAACAACAAACGAAAAAAGATGCTTGTGCGCTGCTTCCAAATTCATGGATTTCACGGCATGACAAGATAAAGAACATAAATTATAGAGACACTCACGGGGATACAGTAGAGCAAACAGCGTTCCCAAATTCGCATATCCGCCGAAGAATCCATTGGAACTTGCGAAAAATCCAAATACTTGTTGGTTCTCCAAGCCGTGCCATCCTTCAAAAACCACGAAAATAAATTGGACTGTTCTTAGGGCTTCGAGTGAAAAAAGAGGGCTTCGAGTGAAAAAAGAGGGCTTTGAGTGAAAAAGTGGGCTTCGAATGTTGCTTCTAGTGGGATTTTTTCCTTTGGGTGACGAGGGCCATTCGAGTGGGGCTTGTTCTCTACCCTCAGCGGAAGAAAATTTTGGGGATTAAACGCGCAGAGGAAGAAATCTTCTTCCTCACTCAGAAGAGGGCTTCGATTGTTGCTTATAGTGGGATTTTTTTCCTTTGTGTGACGACGGCCATTCGAGTGGGGCTTGTTTCTCTGCCCTCAGCGGAAGAAAATTTTGGGGATTAAGCGCGCAAAGGAAGAAAAATTCTTGCGCGCTGAGAAGAGGGCTTCGAGTGTTGCTTCTACTGTGATTTTTTCCTTTGGGTGACTTGGCATGGCCTTCTTTCTCTTCCCTCAGCGTATGAAATTTTTGGGGATTAAGCTGGCAGACTGAAATTTTCTCTGCCCTCAGTGCGCGAGAAGAGTTTAGTAAGTAGGGGGGAAACCATTTTCTCTTTGGGAGCGAAAATGCAGAGAGAGAGATGATTTCTCTCTGGGTAAACCTAGAGAACAGAGAGAGAGAGAGAGATTCGAACCTCCTTGGGTAAACCTAGCTCCGAGCTTCGCGTAGGAAGGAAGCTTCACGTCGAGATCGTCTTCGATCTTCTTTCCACAACCAAATTTTCACAAAATTAGAAACCAAAAGTTGAGAATTTGGAGGAATCGAGTGACGCGCAGAGAGAGAGAGAGAGGATTTCTTCCCGTGAGATCGACTAGAAAATTAGGGCATTTGGGGGAAAGTTGGAAATTTCAGGGAACCTAACACCGGCCTTCAATTTCGGAATCTAGCAGAGCAAATCCAGAGGAAACTTAGGAAAATTTAGGGAATTTTGGGGAAAGAGATCAGAATACCGCGTGGGAGAATGAGGTTCTTTCCCTTGGCCGGCGAAATGAGTCTTCGACAATTCGGGAGAATGAGGTTTTTTTTTTTTTTTCCTTTTCTTTGTTCGTATAATGCATTTCAGAGCAAAAAAAAAAGGAAGGAGCGAGCGGAAAATTGGAAAAAATGTTATGAAATTTTAATATATATATATATATATATATATATTATAACTATTTCTAAACGTTGTTACATACAAGTGCAGTAAGGTTTTTTGAGAAACATTATGACTAACCGTTACGAAAAGTTTATTGTGGTGTAGTGGGTCCTTGTGTATTTTTAAACTTTTTTTTGTTTCCCAGCTATTTTCTTCGCTGGTTCTGGGGAATTCTCCACGGGTTCTTTTCCAATCAGAGCTTTGCAAACTTTACTCAAGGATTCAACCAAATTCCTAGGCCAAGCAACAAATCTTCCAAGAGTGTCACGCACAGTCGTGCTATCAAATGTAGTGATAGACAGAGGTGTGTCTCTCACATAAGTTGATGGAATAAAGACACATACATTTCCCTCTCCAAGTGCGACACTGTGGACAACATCGTTGGGGCGACTATCCAACCATGCCATCCCCGTCACAACAACGATAAATATCGTTCTTCCCCTCTGTTGGATCCAGAAGAATGCACTTACTACCATCACCAAGGCTTAATGAGGGGGCTCTGCGGGTGGTGTAGTATTATAGACAGTAACAACTCTCCTTAACACTACGTTATTAATCCACCGTAAGATTTCACATTCCCTCTCTTACAAGTACTGGGGTATGGCCTTGGGATGATTGCATTGCTTCCCATATGGCCTTCATTATTTACATCCTCCTACGCAACATTGTCAACTCTTCTTCCCTTTTTGATCTGCCAGTGGAATGAAAATAAGTCAACTTTTTGACAAATTAGGATTGCCCACGAACACGACCTTAGTGTTTTGTGTTTCCTAATGATCTAGCAAGCACATTATTAGTCCCCTAAGATTGAAACTTTCCCTGGAACCTTTCTCCGGCATATTGGTCCTACAAAATTTAGAACAAAAATATTATGAATTTCTTCACATATTTCCCATTGATTGAAAAAATATTAAAAAGAAAAGCAATAACTCACAATTAATTTGCCGATCTCTTCGCAATCTGAAATTTTGTAAGTTTCGTTCAGTTTTTTGCGTATGAACTGCCATAAAATGGGTCGATTTGGCTTCTCCGTAGTATTATGCATTTACATCTGCATTCAATTAAAAAGTATATTAAAGATTGTAATATTGGTCCTATAAAATTTAGAACAAAAATATTATGAATTTCTTTGCATATTTCCCATTGATTGAAAAAATATTAAAAAGAAAAGCAATAACTCACAATTAATTTGCCGATCAGTTCGATTCGGTTTTTGCGTATGAACTGCCATAAAGTGGGTCAATCCGACTTCTCCATAGTATTATGCATTTGCATCTGCATTCAATTAAAAAGTATATTAAAGATTGTAATACAAACAAAAAGTAATTAATATCATTGAAAAAAAGTAATTGAAGACTTACGTAATCCTCCTCTACTTTCCTATATCTCTCATGAGCATTCCCATGCGGGTACTTGTACAATCCTCTTCTCTTAGATGCTTCTTCAGAAATGGCATGTCGATCGCTACTAAGTTTATACTCCACAAATTTCCTCCATTGCTCCGGAGTAATTGAAGGGTAGTTTCTAGCAACTTTCTTTGGGAGTTCAAAAACTTGAAGACCATCCTTTAATCGCTTTACAAAGGTCGTAAATAGGTTCGACCTCAAGGCCCAAGCCATCTTCGCCGCACAAGTAAGCTCGTATTTTTTTCGGTCTCTGAAACCATGAAACTTTGAACCAAATCATGTCAAATTCGATTCACGTTATCTTTATTTTCTTTATGTCTCCAATCTTCTATTGTTATTGGCAGGTGTTCACATGTTAAAACACCGACATAACTTTGTAGCTCATTTCCTACTTTTCCAGTAGGGTTATTTTTTTTCATCAAATTTTACTTCTATTCTTTCTCCTTTATCCCTCATTTTGGCAACTCTGCGCGTTATGGTTGCCCTTCGTTTCCCATCATCATCCGAATCAAATTTTTCCTAAGCTCATATTGATTTGCCCCATCAAAAGTGCCATCCTCCTTAAATAACTCTTTTGCGGTATTAAATTCTTCCTCGAACCAATCACAGCCCGCCATGTTTTTAAGAATCAACATATAATCAACATATAGTTTCATTCTTAATGCTAAACTAAATAACTTAAAACTAACCTAATCAACATTATATTAACCTAACCTAATTAATATATACAAAAAAATGTACTAAAAAACTTAAATTTAGATTTAGTTTCATTCTTAATCCTAACATAACTAACTTAAAACTTATTAAATCATATACACCAAATATTCATATTTACATTCAAATATTCAAATAATATTAGGAACACAATTAATTAGTTCTAATCCTAACAATCATATAATATTTTAACAAAACTGTCGTCTAATAGTCTAACTTAATTGAAAATAACCGTCTTCTAATCTATAGTTATAAATTTCAAATACAAAAAATATTATAACTTAAACTGATCAAAATGAAGATAGAGGCGGCTGGTGTTGGTTCGGCGACAACAGTGGCGACTGCTGGTAGACGCTTGGCGGTTTGGCGAACACCAAGGTGGCTTGGAGAGTACGACGGTGAGAGACGAAGCGAGAGTCAGAGAGAGAGAATGGCAGTGGTGGCGTCGAGAGAGACAGAGAGAGAGAGAGAGAGAGAGAGAGAGAGAGAGAGAGATAGAGATAGAGAGAGAGATAGAGAGAGAGAGAGAGAGATTTTTAGGCGGTGGGTGGTAGCGATATGGTTCACAGGAAGAGAGAGAGATCGGCGAAGGTTTTTAGTTGGGTTTCTCTAGAAATGAAGATTGATTGAAGGTTAAATTTTATTTTTAGATTTTTGTGCTCACATTAGATGACGATTTTATAAGAAACTGTCGTCTAATATTTTGCCAGCTGGCCCACATTTTGGCCCAGCACATTAGACGATGGTTTTCTATAAAATCGTACAAAAACTGTCATCTAATTAGAGACGTTAAATGTCAATTTTTTTGTAGTGCTTATTAGTGTATTCTTTTAGTAAGATATATTATTATTGTCTTCAGACCCAGCAGCGGAGGCAAGTGGGGACATGTGCCCCCACGAAAGTTATGTATAAAATTTTTTTAATATATTTTAAAAAAAAAATACTACTTTTATTTGTATTTTTTTATCTTGTCCCCACACGAGCTGAACTAAAAACCCCTATTTGTCTTTTTTCTCTCCACTATGCTCTTATTCTCATCTTCTCCCAACAAATAATGTCTGCTTGTAATATATTTTATAGTTATTGAGAAATACTATGGTAATATTTTTTATATTTACTGTTGTTCTATTTATTTATTGTAAAATATGATTTATGCCCCCACTGAAATTTTATCCTAGCTCCGCCACTGGTCAGACCCTCCGTGATTTATGAGGATTCAAACCAGAGTGTTTCTAATCATGATTCTAGAACTAAAATCATGATTCATGATTTTAGGTTCAAATCATGATTCATGATTTTAGGTTCAAATCATGATTTTAAAATCAAGATTCACAATCAGGGGTTTGAATCGCCTTGAATCAAGAGGGGGTGGTTTTAGAATCATGAGTGATTCTGGTTTAAAACGTCACATCAGATTTCGAATCACGATTCAGAATCATTTAAACTAAACACTAATTCAAAATTATAATTCAAAATCACTATAAATAAATACTAATTTTAAATTAGAATCTAAAATTATAATTTTAAATCTATGTATGAAACGCCCAAAGTATGAACAAACCATGTGATGAATGTAGGCAGGAACTGATTTTAATTAATTAATTAATTTATTTATTTATTTTCAGAGTTTGGCCACAAGAAGTTAGCGTGTATAAGGCAGCGCGGCCAGGGGGAAAATCTAAGAAGCAGACAAAATAGTGTTTTCTGATTAGACGCTATATTCCAATTCTCCAACTCTTCTTGTTTGATCCTTCAAAGGATATATATATTCTACTAAATATATATAATAAAGTTAGTCAACCCGGGTGGATTTGACGGTGGCTTAAATATTTTTTTTTGGAGCGTATGTTCATTCTTTTTATCGATTTGAGTTTTTAATTTTAAATTTTTATAGTAAAAAATTTTTAAAAAATATCACATTTAATCTTTTTTGCTACAGTAAAAAATTCTTATAAAATATCACATCTCAACTTAAATTAAAAACTCGAATCCACAAAATGAATGAGACAGAATTTGAGACTAATTTATATAACATGCGCTGCTCAATAAACCTTTTCTTTAGTAGTATACTTGTCTTCAGCAGTTTGAGTCACTTCTCTTTTAAGGAGTTTACTTGATCTGATTTGGCTTTCAGATATGCTTGCTATATATACAATTATCCACCAATAAATAAAAACATACGTTGATGCCGTTGAGAAAAATACATGTATTGTCTATATGAAAAATGAGTGAGGATGTAAAATTATTTATATACATAGAAAGATTTTAGATTTAATAAATTAATCTTTTGAGTTAAGTTTAGATTCTTAAAGTATGTTAGCTCAGTTTCACATATAGTGTCTTCTCAATACATAATAATTATAATTAGGTGGATTTTCTTTTCTAATAAAATAACGGCTATTAGTATCATTGAATTCTCTTTTTCTTCATTTATAACAAAAATTCAGGAACCCATTAATTGAATATAAATAATCTGATCCAATTATACTTAAAAGATGGACTCAGTTTCACTTATACCACTATAAAATCAACATCAAACTGATAAATTGACCGAATATAGGTCTTAAAAGTGGAATTTTAGAGTATCATATATTGAATTATGAGGAGAAGGGCATCGTTTTGAGATATGTAAAGTTATCCTCACTTATTATATATACATGTATAAGTATGTACGTAGATAATGGGAAAATGAGTGTGATTCAAAGTTACAATATAATATACATACAGATTATCCAACTCCTTGTGTTATCATTGGATATGCCGGTTGGTATTTGTTTATTAAGTGAATTTATCTGTTTTATATCACTGTTTTTGTAGTTCTTTTAAACTATAATTGGTGCAGGCATTATCTTTGACATGTACTCCTCTCGGGACTGAGACGATCGAGTATAATAAATTATAGCATTTGGGACTGAAATGAGCTGATGAAGTGTTATTTCTCCAGGTTAGTACCACTGTATTCAGCCAAAAAAATAAGTGCTACTTTACAAGTCAACTGAAACGTAATATCAATTAGCTAGATTGATCAGCCATGATTAAACCCCAGAATATATATGTTAGATTGATTTGTTGTCATTTCCAATTTCCAATCAAGCACAGTGAGTAGGTTATCATAAAAGAAAAATGGTTGGACATCACAGCACCATTCGGTGTTAAATACTGTTACTAATAAAATGTAGATTCTATTTATAAGTCCTATATTATGAGATCTATTTTATTAGTGAGTGATGTTTAGCACCAGCAGTGCTTCGTGTTCATTCTAAAAGTATGACCGAAGTTTTAAAAAAAATTTCTTGGCCACAATATTTTATGTACTTTTTCCCCCATAAATGACTTAACGCTTAAACAGAAAAGGTAATAAAAGAAAAATTAATGCCTAGAATTAGAAGGATAGATTACGACCTTGTTCATTTCACCGATTCGAGTTTAAAATTTGAGTTTTGCTACAGTAAAAGGTTCTTAGAAACAGTCGCATCTAACTTTTTTGTTACAGTAAAAAGCTTTCACATAAAGTCACATCTCAACTCGAATTAAAAATTCAAATCAGCAAACTAAACGGACCCTAAATTACAGTTAAAAACAAGAGTATAGATTATATACGACAAAATCCTAAATAAACGACAACGTTTTGGGGAAAATAGACAATAAAGCGACAATATGTAAGAAAACGGCATATCTGAGATAACGGCATAAATTCGTACAACATAATCTTGGATGGATAAACCAAAACAACAGCATCATGGACAAATAATTAGGGGTGGCAATTCGTATCACGTGTCGTATTTTGATCGTTTTTTTAAAATTTTCAGTCAACCCGAACACGACCCGTGACACGAAATTTTTTAAAAACCGCGACACGAACACGACACGACCACTTTACGAGCTGACACGACACGACCCGAAAATGACTCGTGACACGAAATTGACCCGTGAACCCGAAATTGACACGAAAATTGTATACTTTTATTTAGTTTTTTACATATTAGAAATAACTTAAAATTCATAACATATTAAATTACAATAACATCCATTGAAATTAAGCAAATAATAGTATAAGATTTTGAGTATAACTATTATGATATCACAAGTTCATAATAAAATTTAAAATATGAAATGAAAAATATATGTATTTTTTAGTTTTTTACGAGTTTCGTGTCGTGTTCGGGTTAGGCGGGTCCAACCCGAAATTGACCCGTATTTTTCGTGTCAATTTCAGGTCGACCCAATTCTGACCCGAACCTCTTTTTTCTCAACCCTAACCTGCAAAATTCGTGTCGTTTTCGAGTCATGTCGTCGTGTCGTGACCCATATTGCCGGCCCTACAAACAATATATAGATTAAGTCAATAACCACGAATAAGAGAAACGCTAACGTCATAAAAAGAGGTTTTGGATCTCGAATTATTAGTGCTACTTTGGTCCTTAAATCTTTTTTCCTAAATAATTAATTTCTGAAACTTTTTGGTAGTTTTAGTCATTGACTAAAGTATTAAGGATGGAATTTTATAATCATATCATCACGTGATAATAAGAAATCTTACCAAACAGATTTAGTTATAATTAATCCTTGAATTTTAAATTATTTTTATAAAATTCATATTGTATTTAACATTCTCCTCCTATTTCTTTTTTAGATTTCATTACTACTGTATTTACTCAAAATAAAATAATACATAGTTTAACAAAATAAAATTTGACCATTTTTAACTTTGGATAGGGCCGGTGGACGTGAGTTTGGGATGCTGCGAATTCAACTCTGCATTGTAGAAAAAGAAAAAAATAATGAATACCTTTCATCTTAAAAAATAAAAAAATAAAAAAAGATAATACACATTAAACTATATGAGTCTAAATTTTTAACTTTTATTATTAATTAATATATTTTTTAATTAAATAGTTATATTAATAAAAATGATATTAATTAAAAATAATAGATAAAAATAAAAAATGAGTCAGTAATCTATTATTATGTAATAAATGAGAGATTCCCTTTTGTGCACTCTGCTTCTTGCATCTTTTGTCTTTTCTTGACTTTTCCTTTGTGGGCCTTTATGTTTTATTTTTTATTTTGCTTCTTTCTTTTAAAATAATATATTTAAAAAATATATATATATATTTTTTACAATACTTGCTTCTTTTACTTTCTATTTTCTAACTACCAAAATGAATTTTTTAAATATGTCTCCACCATTTCAATCTTTTTATACTCTCTTCTAATTGCTCTTTTAAAATAATTCTTTTAAAGAAGTCACTATTTGTTTAAACATTTTTTCCTTCTTTTATATATATATATATATATTCTCTACATATACAATACTAAACAAAACCATACATTTTGATCGAAAGATGCACTTTAGTGTATCCATTTTATTTTTAAAATATCTTATATTCTCAAACGTGTCAAATTAAAATAGTTTTTTTTTTCTATAATATAGTTTATTGAAATAATGTTTATAATCAAATATTGTTTACTTAACTAGTTTTTCTTGCAATATTCTAAAATACTATTTTTTTTTCAATAATAACCCTTATAAATGTTTAATTTTACTTATTTTTCTTGTAATCTTCTCACGTATTATTGTCTCATATATTTTTCTCTATATTATTTCTTTGATGACTATAATCTTAAATATCAGTTAACTAAAATTATACTAAATGAGCTTTTTTTTTTTTGGAATTTTCAACTTTTTTTTGGGCTTGTTGAATTTTTGAAATTTTAAGTTTTGAAATGTGTTTATTTAATTTTATTAAATTAATATTCAAAATAGTAACTAATACCCTATTAATCTTAATGAGAGTAGTATTTGATTTTTAAAATTTTGACCCATCAAGAAATTATTTTTGTATATGGTTTTAATATTTAGGATACTCTTTTATATTTATGATAAAATAAGAAGAGCAAACATGGGATCTTAAAAGAATTTATATATATTTAGAAAAACTTTTCCAAAATCATTTTCTTCGAGTTAATGTACGTTCGTTTTTACATCTAAGTTATACTAATTCTTTCTTTTAAGCTTTTAATGTTATTCATTTACTTTTCTCCACTCCCATTACATTTATTTTAATTATAATTTTTAGGGATATTTATATTTTTATACCTTATGTTTTAAGTTTATTTAAGTTTTTGATCTCATTAAATATATACATTGAAATTATATTTAATATATAAATCTATGTCTTATCTCGGTCAATAATTAATTTTGACTTTTTAAATGACTAAACCATTCTTAAGAAAAAGAGAGAAAATAAAACTGAAACTTTCGAATATTACAAAAAAATAAAAAATAAAAACACAAAAAAACCCATTTCAAGGCATTTTAAATATTTTTAAGGTTGAAACTGTTAATTTAAAGTTTTTTTTTTAGTTTATTTCTTTTTCCATTTTTCTTTAAGGGTACTTTAGGTATTTTATGCTTAAAATTGAGGGTGGACTGTGAAAAAGGTATAAATTTGAGTATTAAATCTAATTTGAAAGTATACATTTCATGAGATTAAAAACTGAATGTATAGTTTTTAATAAACCTAAAACACATGGTATAAAAATATAAATATCCTTAATTTTTATTATAAGCTTTTTTGTCTTAAAGATTTGTGTTACAACAACAATTAACATATTTAGGCATATATAAATTTTTTTTTATAGATTAGATATTTGCAAAAATTGTTAGGAATTATAAATATAACTTTATAAAATATCTTTAATTAGTAATTATAAGTGAAAATGGAAAATAAGTATACGTGTTTCATTTTATTTTTAAAAAATTTTATAGAAAAATATTTTTGTTAGTAATTTTAAGTGAAAATGAAAAATAAGTATTTATGTTTCATTATCTTTTTAAAACTTATTTTTTATTACTTTCTTAGAAAACATACAACTTTATTTTTTAGTTTTTTATTACTTAATTAGATATTTCTACTAGACTTAAAAGAGACTATTAAATTAAAAAAGCACTAAACTCTTTAAAATTTAACATATATGTATTAGAACACAACACACTAAACCCCGTTTGTTTCACTAGTTTAACTCAGTTTGAACAGTGAGCATAGTTTAAATTTGTATTTGGTTAGCACGCAATTCGAATTATATTCGTTGTTTGAACTGAGTTGAGCTGTCTAATTTACAGAAGCTCCTCCTCAAGTTCAACCGTTTAAACTATTTTTGAACAGTAAAAAGGTGCTAATTCTCTCTGCTTTTCACTCTTACCAAATACAAATTCAATTTTATTCTCTGTTCATATTAAAATTTTAATTGTACATCTAAATATCATTTCAAACTATAATTTAAACTACACTGTTTAAATAAAAAAGTTTAAATCAATAAAATTCGAATCAAAAACAAAAGGGCGAAATATACCGGTGCTTTCTCTCTCTAGTTCTCTACAAATTTTGAGAACAAAACAAAAAGAGACGGCCCATTTGGGAGGAAGAGGCTATATTGAAGCCCAAATACTCACTCACTCTGCTTTGCTTAGGCCCACAAGCTTAAACCCCGCATCGCTAAAACCCTCGTGGAACGGAACTGAAAACAGGATCGGGAAAAGCTTTATGCTTCATTCGCCGACTCATTTCTCAGATAAAACAAAAACGTCGGAAAAAATGGCGGCGAAGTGGTGGCACACCGCCACTTGCGGCCTCAGATCCTTGTCGGCAAACTCACCTTTACCATTATCATCATCATCATCGTCATGGAGAACCGCTTCTTACCATACGATCCAAGCGATCCCTAGAGAGTGCACGGGAAGCAGAGTGGCGGCCCGGGATCGGGCCCAGGGCAGAATCCCCGCCGTCGTCTTCAGCCAGAGCCTCCTCGAGAAAAACCCTAGCCACCGCTCGGCGGCCAAGAAGCATTTGCTCACCACGGAGAGGAAGCAGATTAACTCCATTGTCAAGGACGTCAAGCTTCCTTTCTTCTGCTCCACCCGATTCCCGCTCCATATCCGGGCCGGGTCAGGATCGTCGGTTTTGCTCGAGTCCGGGACCGTTCTACCAATCAAGGCAAGTGCTTTTCGATTCTCTTTTGGGTTCAGTTTCGGTTTGATTTCAATTTGAATAAAGATTGAAAATTTTGGTATGTGTAGATTCATAGGGATGAAGAAACTGGGAGAATATTGAATTTGGTGTTTGTTTGGGCTGATGAGGGCACGGAATTGATGGTTGATGTGCCGATTGTTTTTAAAGGCGAAGATGTTTCTCCTGGTCTTCAGAAAGGTAATTTGATTTCTTCTCTCTCTCCCTTCATTTGTGCTTGTGAGCTATATCAATGAAATGGATCATTTTGTGTCTAAATTATGGATGGTGAATGCAAAACAAAATCAAAGGAGTATATATTATGTTATATACTTAAAGGAAAATGTGAGAATTTGGACCAAAAACCGAAATTGAAAATACCAGAATCTGAAGAACAAATCCAACGGACTAAACATACGAATGAAGAAAAGGAATTTCTGGAAAAAACTTAACTGGAAATTTATTGACAGCAAAACAACTTCTCAAGTCTTTAAACCCTCAAGAAATCCTTTCACGCTCACATTACACAGAGCACACAGTTTTTCTCTCTCCACAAGATTGCCTCACAGACAAAGAACAAGACTTTCTCTCGCTAAACTTACTTTTATATCAAGCCCCAAAACAGAATCAATAGCACTTATTCTGTTGATATTTTTCTAACCAACCGCCTATTAAGAAATCTTGTTTCTCTGTAAGCTTGTACACTGAAACTCCTCTGTAAACCAAGTCAGCACACATGCTGCCACGTCATATTGCCTCATCACCAGTTGAAATAGCAGTCACATCATCACAACAATTCTCCATCTGGCTGCAATTTCCTGAACCCTTTTCTCATATTTAGACTGTATCTGCACTAACATGCTTTACTTCTAACAAATCCAAACAATGTTTGAACTTTGGTGAAAGTAATGCTTTAGTTATCATGTTAGCTGGATTTTCATCTGTAGAAACCTTCTCTAGAAATAATCTCCTTTTTAGCTATGACTTCTTTGATAAAATAGAACCTCACATCTATGTGCTTGGTCATTTCATAGTAAACTTTATTTTTAGCCAAATGTATTGCACTTTGACCGTCACAATACACTTTGGCAATCACTTGTTTGACTCCTAACTTTGTTGCAATTCCCTTTAACCATTTTGTTTCTTTTATAGCTTCAATTAAGCCATAAATTCAGCTTCAGTTAAGCCATAAATTTAGCTTCAGTTGTTGAAAGTGACACAACATGCTGCAAGTTAGCTTTCCAACTGACAACATTACCACAAACCTTGAACGCATACCCTATATGTGACATTCTATTATCAACACAGCCTGCATAGTCTGAATCCACCAAGCCAATAACAGCCTCCAAGTCCCTGCTATGCTTTATGTACAGTAATCCAACTCCCATTGATCCTTTAAGATACCTAAATAACCACTTCACAGCCTCCCAATGAGCCTTCCCTGGATTGGCCATGTACTTGCTAACCACACTGCATATGCAAGGTCTGGTCTGGTACAGACCACTGCATACATTAAGCTTCCTACTGCACTGGCATAAGATATCTTTTCCATATAAGCAGCTTCATCTTCACGTGATTGTGAATCCTCCTGTGAGAGCTTGAAATCTTAACTCAAAGGTGTCAAAACTGGTTAACATTCATACATTTTGAATCTTTTAAGCACTTTCTCTACATAACCTTTATGAGAAACAAATAAAGTTCCTTTGTGCCTGTCTGCCAATATCCATACTCAGAATCCTCTTGGCAGGACCCATGTCCTTCATTTCAAATTCTCTCTTCAATTGCTGCTTCACCTCATCAAGCTCAAACTTATTTTTGCATGCTAAAAGCATATCATCAAGGAGAAGATATATGATATCTCCACCTGATCCTGACTTACTGTACACACAGTTATTAAATTCACATCTATTGAAGTTGTTTTGAATCATAAAAGAATCAAAACACTTGTACCATTGCCTTGGAGACTATTTAAGTCCATACAAAGACTTATTCAATAGACAAACCAGATCTTCTTTACCCTTTTCCAAGAATCCTTCTGGTTGAGCTATGTAAATGTCTTCTTCGAGTTCACCATGTAAGAAGGCTTTCTTAACATCTAATTGTTCCAGCTCTAAATCTCCTTTTGCAACCAAGGACGAGAATTCTGATGGAACTTTATTTCACAACCGGTGAAAATACCTCATTGTAGTCTATTCCTTCTCTTTGAGAGAATCCTTTGGCGACCAACCTCGCCTTAAACCGAGGTTTCTCCACACCAAGAATGCCTTCTTTGAACTTGAATACCCATTTACTTCCAACTAGTTTCTGTTTTGGAGGCCTCTGCACCAGCTTCCATGTTTGATTCTTGTGTAAAGACCTTAACTTCTCTTCCATTGCAGCCTGCCACTGGTTACAATGTTTGCTCCTCATTGCTTCTTGAAAGGATCTAGGTTCTAGATCCTCAACTTCAGAAGCTGCAGTCAAGGCAAAAGCTATTAATTCTGCATAGCCAAACCTCTCTGGTGGCTTTACTTGTCTCCTTCGTCTATCTCGAGCCAATGAATAACCCTGTAGCTGATATGAGCTTCTTGACTTTGTCAAGTCTTCATCTGCAACCTGATTTGAGTTTCCTGATGCTGTTACATCTTTATCTCTTGCCTAATCTTCACTAGAATCAATCTGAATGCCTGATTGTTGTGAAGCCTCCACCTCAAGCTGTAATTTCTCTATCTCTTGACTGTGGTCACCTTTTCTTAGCTCAGCTTCAGTCTTGTCTGACTTAGAGTAGTACATTTCAGTTTCTCTAAAGATGATATCTATACTGTTAAACACCTTAGGATGCCCCTTTTGCACACACTAGAGCATATAGCCTTTCACACCTTCTGGATATCCCAGAAACATACACATGAGTGCCCTAGGCTCCAATATCCCCCACTTTATGTGAGCAAAAGCTGTACATCCGAACACCCTTTAATTTTCCAAATTTGGAGGATGACTAGACCACTTTTCTTCTGGTGTTTTAAGATCATAGCTACTGAGGGACTTCTATTGATTAAGTAGGCTGCAGTCATCACAACCTAGAAGACTTTTGAAAGATTGGCATTCGAGAGTAGATACCTAACCCTCTCTAGAACGGTCTTATTCATTCTCTCTGCAAGACTGTTCTGTTGAGGGATTTTTCTAACAGTGTGATGCCTTGCCACTCCTTGATCTTTACATAATTGGGTGAACTCATTCCCACAATACTCCAAGCCATTATATGTTCTCAATTTTTTAAGCTTCCAGTTTGGTTCTCTACCAGAGTTTTGTGGAAGAATGTGTTTTACACGTGTATAGATTAAATTAAGAAAGTTTGAATATAATAGTTAGTTTCTCTAAAATTAGGTTGATTTGGTTAGTTTCCTTTTTTAGTGTGATATCCCACATATTATGGGATGTGATTGCCGTTTCTATAGACTAGGGCTCCTGTATATAACCGGTTGTAATTGTCATGTAATATACAATTCCTTCAATTTTTTCCTCTCAAATTTCCACATGGTATTAGAGCCTTAGGCTCTTTTTTCTATGAACGGAAACCCTAGCCTTCATCGCAGGGTTCTCCTTTCTTTTTCTGTCTTGTTGATGAGGAGTTTTCTGAAACTACGGATTTGTACGGATTGTACGGATTTGTACGGGCTGTACGGATTTGTGCGGGAACTGTACGGAACTGCCCCCTGTTTCATGCCCTGCCGCCACTGCTGCCAGGGAGCTTTCGTAAGAGAGTGCCTGAATTGTATCAGCCTTCATCGCTGATATTTTACTTGACTCAACCAACCGGCCTTAATTGCCTTGGGACTGCTTGGTTTGATTGAGGATGTCGGAGGTGGCAGAAACAACAGCTACGATACAGTCGGAGGATGCAGAAATCGTTAGGCCTCAAGCCGGGGAATTCAGAACATTCATGTCGCATATAGGCTGAATGGAAAAAACTATTTTAAATGGTCCCAACTTGTCCGGACTGTGCTGAAAAGGAAAGAAAAAATCAGCCACATCTTAGGGACCGGGCCAAAACCGGAAGATCCACGATTTGGAGCGTGGGATGAGGAGGATTCGATGATCATGGCATGGCTATGGAACTCCATGAATCCGAAGATTAGCGATACATGTATGTTCTTGGCCACTGCCAAGGATGTATGGGATGCAATTCAAGAAACGTACTCCAAGGCAAAGGATGCTGCCCAAGGCTACGAAGTCAAAGTTAAGACGATCGCTGCAAAACAAGAAGATATGACTGTCATTGAATATGCCATCAAATGAAGGCTCTGTGGCAAGAACTTGATCATTATAGGGTGATTAATACCAAGTGTCCCGATGATGCAGCAATTTTGAAGGATTTTATTGAACAAGATAGAGTTTATGATTTCCTTGTTAGACTCAATCCAGAATTTGATTTAGTTAGAATTCATATTCTTGGCAAACAGGAAGTTCCAAGTTTCAATGAAGTGGTGGCACTCATCCGAGGAGAAGAAAGTAGAAGGAAATTGATGCTTGAACCAAAAGGGACTGACAGTTCGGCTTTAGTTGCTAGTAAGAGCAATAAGACAGGCACAAATGCAGAAAAAGTGCCGGCGGTCGAGAATGGGAGGATCAGCCAGCCAAAGACCCAAAACCGTGACTACAAAGACACTATGGTGTACCTATTGCAAGAAGGCACGTCATACTCGTGAGCGGTGTTGGAAATTGCATGGAAAACCACCAAGCCGCGAGTGGGGACAAAAAGGAGAGCAACTGAGGAACAATGGACGAGCCCAGATTGTAGCAGTGCAACCGCATGAAGAGACATCACAAGAGATGGGAAATCTCAGCCAAGAAGAAATTGAGAGGGTGAGATCACTTATTGGCAATCTTGATAAACCATCAGGTACTTGTTCATTGGCGTATTCAGGTAAATTTCCCTTCTCCATTGGATTAAATGTCTCGGATATAGCCTTTACCAGCTCTTGGATTATTGACTCGGGAGCTACTGACCATATGACCCATTCATCAAAAAAAAATTTCCTCATATACCCCGTGTCCAAGTAATAGGAAAATAGTCACAGCCGATGGATCATTAACTACTGTGGCAGGCATAGGTGATGTCAAGATAAGCCCGTCGCTGTTGTTAAAAAATGTTCTTCACGTCCCTAGGCTAACCACAAATCTTGTTTCCATCCAAAAGCTCACTAAAGATTTGCACTGTAAAG